TATCTATTATTCCATTACTTTAGAACCGTGCGAATAAAATATCCAGCTTGTTTTAAGTCTTTGAGGTTAAAAAATATCAAGTAAACAAAGTGTATGGATGATGGTGAACTCAAATGACCTAGGTCATGAGCTAGCTCACTTCGATCCAAAAGGGAAATATCCAATGTAAGCTGTCCTGCGTTTACAATACAAAATTCCAAATTATCAAGCAGTGCGTGTCGACATGATTACCATTGAGGGACAAGGGTGCTGTCTCAATTCAAATGCGTTCATTGTAAACTCTAATGCGCTCATGGGTATGTATACAAGAGTACGCATTTAGTCCGTTACAAAATAAATTATAAATCTTTGAATACATATTTTTTACTTTGCTAATTCGTGAAATCCTTTCGTTTCACAATACTAATTATTTATAGGAACTTCGCTTCATATGTGTAGAGATTTGGATGATCGATTATCATTCGTGAACAGGTCGTTTTTTAAGTACCAAGAGATTTCGTGCTGAAAAATTAACATTGAAATTTTCGCAAAAGCAGAACAAGTTTTTTTAAAGAGAGTGTTTGACAGGAAGAAGATGGTTGTCAGGAGGCCGTGAGACCTGTGCAGCCCCGGTCAGCAGGATCCGCCCTCCTCGGCCTCTGCCCGGCAGTGCGTGTGCTCACAGGGGGCGGCAGGGGGCGCCGCTCCCTCATGACCCCCTCGCACGTGCATCCGTCCAACGGAGCGCGGGACGGGGCGGGACCCTAACAGCTGCCTTGGGGCTCTCCCGCCCCCGCTCTCCTGGCCCCCGCTCTCGCCGCCCCCGCCTACCTCGCTCCGCCACGCCCGCCTCGCGGCGTGTTTTTGTTGCCGCCATAAGCCCGGCAGGGCCCCGTGGCCGGGTGGGCTGTCTCCGAACGCGACAGCGCAGCGGGGGGCACCGGGCGCACCAGGCGGAGCGGACGGGGGAGGGTGCGCGCCTTTCTGAGGCGCCCGTCGTGCGGGGCGAAGGAGGTGTGGCAGCTCGGCAGGCTTCCCTTTCCGCGAGGGATACTTTGACAATATTGAAAAATACATGACCGCACCTCGGCGCTCCGGAGGACGGCCTGCTGCTGCCGCCGCCTCCAAGGCCGCCCCACCCTGCCGACGTCCCAGCAGGCAGAGCCCGCTCGAGCCCCGAGACGTGATGCGGGGCACAGCCGGTGTTGGCGCTCACCGCTCTACACCACCACGGGTCCCGACGCACTGCACTTTCCGCGTCTCGCCAGGGTCTGGTCATGCCGGAGCCCGCCAAAGCAAACCTATGCCGCGTTGAACATTGGACCATGTTTTAAACCTTACAAGGCAAATGTCGCACCGTAACGGAAAAAAAAGTTTAAAGGCTGAGTGAAATTGAAGCATTTTTTGCTTGTTTTTTTTCTTTCTTGAAATTGCCCTTGGCTTCGAAAGATTCCCCTCGCTGTGTTACCACCGACAACAGAGTCACATGGTTAATGGACGTCCCCGGGCGTTCTATCGCTGTAGGAGCATTAGGTCAAGGAGGAAGACATCCCCCTCTCCGGTGCTGCCGCTGCTGCTGCTGCCCGCAGGACTGGCTTCCAGAGAGGGCCAGCCAATCGGGTGGCAGATCGACCGAACGAGAAAGCAGTTGTCCGACGCTTGTTCGTTTCGTGAGACAGCGGGCTGACAGCGTGCCTCCCCCCTCCGGTTCCTTCAGTCGTGACCGAGACGGAAGGAAAATAAAACATTCTTCCTCCCTGCCTTCACTGCGACTGTTAGTTGGTCTTCAAGCCGCAGGCCGACAGCCTGTCCGTAATTCAGGTCCCCTCCTCACGGCAGTCAAACTCGGTAAAAGCAGAAGCCACCCCTCTTACACTGTAGGACGGCTACTGTGGAGAGAGAGGCGACCGCCTCGCGTAGTCTCAATGGTAACCAGTTAGTATAGTAGTGCCATTGACTTACGAAAGGTAATCCATCTGAACAGAACGCCTTTGGAACTCATATTCCAATTTTATACAATTTAAAAAAATCTG